CATGTAATGCTTTACATTTTATTTTTTAATTTCCAATCGGTGAGTTTTATCAAAAAAACACAAGAGGTAAAAAAGTTTCTAAACAAACTAAACTATCCAAATTAAAGTATTTGCATGTGTTTGATAAGAATTTTCTTTAAACTTCGTTAACAAGAATGATAGGGGTAGTTTATTTCAACCCCTTCCACTCATTTTAAAAAAGTAAAAAAATTACATGAAAGGGTGTTTTCATAACAGTAATGCTTCCATAAAATTTCATTAGTCTATCTCTTTTCGTTTTCAAGATAAAAAATAAAAACATTATTTTTCCGCCATCTTTGTACCGCGATATCTCCCTAATGGTTGACTTTTGACCCAACGTTTATAAAGCAAACTACCCTTTATTTTGAACAAGGAATACCCCTGAAGTTTTTCGCATTTGTTTTGAAACACCCTATATCTAAAGGGTATCCCATTAAAAAACGTAAGTTTCGGTCATATTTCAAGAATAACAGCTCGCAGCAAAGATCTAGTTACGCCACTAAATACTACGTGAAAAACTCTTTAATAATAGGACTCAGTTTTCACCTTTTGGATAAGATACAGTACGTCTGTCCGTTCTGTAGCTATGGGGTATCCGTGAGAGGAAACGATATTCTCTCGATGTTTTCGTAAAAATTAGACGACGCGTCCCATCAATAAAAATTCGACAAATTTGCAAGTAGCCAATAAAATGAGTGGGCGGAGCGATTTGCGGTGACGTACTCGTCAAGTCGACGAATAAAATATATTGCTGCTTATTTAAATGTTTTTGTCCGCATTCCTTTCATAGACACAGATCCAGCAGACGTACTGTACAAGATACCGAGATACGAAGGGGATCGAAAAATGCAACATTTATACTGTAACTGTATAGTGTATATACTGTATACTAGCGTGTACCAGCGACTTCGTTCACGTCGAATTAATCATTTGTAATGGTGATGATAAAGCAAAGCAAGAATTTCCATTAACATACAAACTGGATAAAAATATTATTATATAACTTGGTAATATTTGAGGGGTAGTTTCATCTCGTTGGAATTTGACTTTCCAAAAATCAGTTTGCAAAAAATAAGCTTTTTACGTCAAGCAGTTTAAGCAGAATCGTGGTTAATCAATTACCCAACTTTTTGGAACACCCTGAATGATTTTTTAAAAAATTTCAAAATATGTAAAAAACCCAAATAAATTATGCCAAATTTTGTCCAAGCGTTTTCCCGAAAGGCTAACCGTTTTTTAAATAACAAATATTGTAATATTTGAGGGGCGTTTTCACCCTCTTGGAATTTGAGATTCGAGAAACCCCTCCTTATCGAACCTCTACACCCCACAGTCAATCCGTTTGCCAAAAATCAGCTTTAAACGTCAAGCAGTTTAAGCAGAATCGTGATTACTCTATGGTCATATTTTATGAAACACCCTGTATAAATTTATAAAAAATCTTAAAATATGTAAAAACAACAAAATAAAATATACGTGTTTAAGAGTTTTTCCGAAAAACTCACCGGTTTTTAAATAAAAAATATTTTAATATTTGAGGATAGTTTCACCCCCTTAGAATTGAGTTTCGAAAAAACCCTTCTTATCGAAGCTCTACACCCCAAAGTCAATCTGTTTTCCAAAAATCAGCTTTTTACGTCAAGCGCTTTGAGCAGGATCGTGATTAGTCAATTACCAGATTTTTCGAAACACCCTGTATACATTTTTAAAAAAATCTTAAAATATGTAAAAAACAAAATAAAATATACGTGTTTAAGCGTTTTTTCGGAAACTTGACCGTTTTTTAAATGACGAATATTGTAATATTTGAGGGGTGGTTTCACCCTCTTGGAACTGGAATTTCGAAAATCCCTTCTTATCGAACCTCTACACCCTAGAATCAACCTGTATGCCAAAATTGAGCTTCTTACGTTGACTGGTTTGAGCAGGATCGTGATTAATGAGTATGTCAGTCACTTAAGGATTTTATATATTAGTATAGATTTCTAGGCAAATTTTTATTACTGTAAACACAACTTCTGACAAGCAGCGTCCGTTTAGGTTTAACGCCAGAAGTGTTTACAAAAAATAACTATTTTATTTTGTAGATTTTTCTTGCAGTGCAGTGGCGAAAAACCCATAAGGATTTTTTTTGGATAGATGAATCCGCCACATAGGTATAGACATTTTTTACAACGAGATTTTTCTGGCAATTATTAATACTCTGCTATAAAAAAAATACTTCCCTGTATATTAATGTCGCATCATCTAGAATTGTACATCGTATAATGCCTTTCCAAGATATATTAACAGTTAACGTTTAGTTGATATCACCATGATCTAAAATTTAAATGAATAATTTAACCACCAAAAAATGTACAATCCTGTTCAACAATATTAATCAATTTAAATATATATGAGAATCTTTCTAGTCTGTTGAATTACCAGGAATATTTTATCCAGAACATGTTCTCTTGTTAAAAATAGGACAAAGCAGAGTCAAAATCCGAATAAGGTCAATATCTCTTTTATCTCAATTAAAAATTGGTTCGTCAACTTTATTATCTGATGTATTAATCTCTAATTAGCAAAAACGTCCAGTTTAATGTGTATTTAAAACAAATGTAGTGTTTTTCTCGTTCAATCAGTGGCGTAACATTTTTTATTACTTTTTTTGTGCCGCACATTAATATTAAAGGTATTCCAATATGATATCCAAGAGAATGAAGCTTTGTGTAAGGGAAATACTGAAGGAAGGAGAACCCGAGTTAGTTACCTATGCGATAGTTATCTATGAGTAGTCTGTTATTTTAATTTAAGCTGCTTTAAATTAAGCTTTAATTAAAGTAAAATAAGCTTTAATTTAAGCTTAATTAATCTCTAACCTTGTAAAATGTCGATAAGCTTTAAACATTATCTCTAGTGGTATATTGTCTTCTATAAATTTGTTTCAGCTGCGTATCACTGAAATAACCTTTGAATAAGAAGACTAAGGAAGGAGCATAATGCTATCCATGTATTCATGCATGGTGGGCGGAAAAAGCACTCTAGGGTGGGTATCCTTGACAGTTCTGTTTGACGATTCATTTGACACATTTGAATTTGATTTGAAATTTTGTGGATTTGTCAGTCTTTACGGAGCTTATTTTATGTTATTTATTATTTATTCTACTACTGATAGTTGTATAAAGGTAGTAAATCTAGATAGAAATTGTGGCAGAACTTAAATTAACAGTGACACTATCGCGATTTATCGAAAAAACTCTAAAATAGTTGGTTGTGTAGCGTGCGGTAGATCTCGGCAAAAAATCGAGTGAAATAATGGAACATACGTCTTGCTTAAAAATAAATTGCATTTATTTAAATTTGCCGCCACATTTGTTACTTTCCTGGGTGGCTAGATGGCGCCACTTCAATATACAGATTACAGATTTCTTTACAAATTTGAAACCGTTTTGAAACTAAAAAATGCATGGGAGTTAGCGTTCTTCTTTAGTGTGTTCTGTGACGTTAATTTGACTTACCTGCTTCAGTAGCGTATTGGATGTTTGTGTTAATAAATACTTATTATAACACCTATTTTTATTAGAATTATATATTTTTATAACAATTTTAATAACTACCAACATTTATTCACAACGTAAAATAAAACATCAAATTATTGAGTCTACCCCACGTCTACCCTACATCATACTTTTACATTTTTTATATAAAATTAGAATGGCACTAATAAACCGGAATTTAAGTCGGCCATATTTGAGGCCCATCGCGGTGTACCTAAGATTTTTGATATGCTCCTTCCTTAGTCTTCTTATTCAAAGGAAATAACAAACCCGGGCAAACTATTTTTTGGATTTGGAAAGCAATGATCTTTCAGTCCATTCTTTAAGCACTTCAAAATACCACTAAGTGAGGGCATTGGGAATTTTATTTCACGCAGAACAAAAATAGAAAGGAAAACTAAACGGTGGCAAATCGTACATCCTTAATAAACCGCACTAAAAATGATGAAACAAACTGGATAGTTTTTGATAAACACCTTTTTGTTAAGAAACAGACAAATCGAAAGCTAAAATTTACCTTTTCTTACCTCTTTTATAAAAAGGTAAACTAAAGTGGAGGAGGAACAGGAAACAGGAAGTTTAATTACCATCTTTGTTCTTATTTTGCGAGAATATTTGAAATTAAAGTAGCGGTAATTTTTGGTGCATATAAAAGCTGCCCCGAGAGTGGAAAGAGCATGCTTAATTGTTTTAGCGTTTATGCGTAGGTTAAGGGTAGTTTTTTCCATAACCTGGAATTGATTAGGTTAGGTTTGGTCAAGACAACGGCCTAAGACACTCGAAAAAATTTCGCAGCATTTACGACCGAGAGAAATCCAAAGATTTTCCATGATTTAAGTAAGAACAATCCTCGGATTATCACGGGTTTTTTAACAGGACACTCTCTAAAAAGAAGTATAAAAAAGACTCAAAGTCTCCCGGTTTCAACGTTTATGTTAAATTAAACAGTGACACGTGTTTCGTTCATACGAGCATCATCAGACAAATACAATAAAAGTCAAACCACACACACGTTCACATTTTACATATTAAAACAACACTAAAGAGTGTTGTTTTAATATATTTCAAATGTATCACGACACCCGGTGTGAGCGGGTCATGGTTTGGTTGGTTAATGTCTGGGAACGCACGGTAACTTTTTTTGTCAGATGTATTCTCGGCTTTAGATGCTGACATAAAAAATCTTAATCAGTTCCCTGTGCCCTTTACCTACACCGCTGGTACCACATATTATCGCTCCGCAGCATCAACGATGACAGAGAGAGAAAAAGAAGTCGATGGTCATCATCGGCGGCGTATCGCGTGTGAGCAGCATACCGGCCAGCGGCCGCGGCTTTCCCGGAAACCGCTTTGTTCCGTACTTCCGGACGCCAAGGCTCCGGGAGCATCTGTCACTTCGCATCTCCGCGCTCTCACAGTTGCGAGTACCATCCGATTGGGGCCGTACCGTGTTACACACTTTTTCGTTATTGGAAATTGCGTTATTAAAAAAAGTAGTGCGCTTGGTTATAACTCACGACGGATAATACTTGGTAAGTTTCCCATCTTCTTTTACACGTTTTTATTAGTTTCGCCCATAAAATAATTAACTAGAAAGAAGTGTCAACTCTGTGTTAAATCGTGGAAACACGATACGCCACCGAAAGCCTTCGTTGTCGTCTGGAGAACTAATTTTCCAATTGACAGGTTGACATGATAAGGACATGATGGCTTAATTTTCATTTCCGTTTCCGGTTATTCAATGGCGGGCTCTCTTTCAGTTCAAATGTATTTTGTATTTTATCTTTTCATAAATAAAACCAAAAAATAATTTATTCACATATATTTATTTGAAATATGGAACAACGTGACTAAATAAATATAAAAATATAGAGGATTGTATTGTTTCAATACCAATTAGTTAATTATATGTACTTTTAACGTAAATTAGTAAGGTATAAGCATGACTTACAGTAATTTGTAAATAAACACACAGGTAACATTAATATATCTGCATGACTTCAAGGAGAAAACGGACACAGGGACATGAAAACGGGAGCCTTATACAAAAACCTGGCTATACCAAAAGGCATCCTGAAAACAGAAAAACAAATTTTTTATACTAAAATTAACAATGTAATAATATCAATATTAAATTTATTTAATATTGATATATTAGGTATAAATTATAAATATACTGTTTAAAAAGCAAGCGTCCATTATTCCAAAGAGACTTGGCTTATAAATCAAAAAGCAACAAAAGAGACTTTTTAATCGGATAACATATTCAAATTATAATTACAAAATAATTATAATTGCTTCTACAGCCCTCCATTCAGTTCAATACAGTAACATCTTTTTCTCAGATTATCAGTCCGATTTATTGCATTATTGATAATAAATCGCACATACTGGAGATAACCGTAATGTTGGCTATAGTTAAAAATGATCTTACCTTGTTGTAAATTGTTTCTATTTTTCAAAAAATCGCCGATCAAAGAGGTGTTAACACCATTTTCTTTGCATCTAAAAAATGTAAAAACTGTTTATTTACTACCTATTTTTCATATTCATGGGACATACCTATTACTGCATGAAACGTCATTTTCTCCAGGATTCTTCATGTAATACATATTTTATATACTTTATTACCTTTATAAATTATAAATTTCAGCCGAAATATTAAATTGAACTTTCAAAACGAAACTAAACGGAATGAATTAAAATGGCGTCGAATATTTTCGAATTTGTTCTAGAACAAATCTGAAGTTGTCTCTGAAACTGAAATCTGTCAATTCTAAACTGTGAAGTTAGACAAGAGTTAAGGCGGGTTCTCACTTGTCAGTTTCGCTGACGCAGTCTGACTGATTCATTATCAATGAAAAATAAAAATCAACGATTGTATTCACACGTTTCATGTTTTGCTACATTCAGTATTCAGTTGGTCCAAACATTTTAACGTGGTGATTTCGCAGACATGAAAATGGTTAAAACAAAATTGAAACCAGGTGTTCGCGAAGTTTGTTTACAATTAGCAAATGAATTACAGAATATTCTGGTGAATCAGAAAAGAAGAAAACGTTTTTTTTTAAAGCAGATACGTCTACAAGAAACCGTTGACGTTCTATTTTAACAGAACGTCAACGGTTTCTTGTAGACGTATCTGCTTTAAAAAAAAGCGTGTTCTCATAATAGTTTGAATTTAAATATTTTAAAGAGTTTTTTTTTCTTTATTCTTTGAATTTTTTTTGGTTCCGACGATAGACTTTCCGAAACGTTAAGCATTTTTTTCTTTGTTAAGCCAATTTGTATAACTGTAAACATAACTTCTGACAAGCAGTGTCCGTTTAGGTTTAACGCCAGAAGTGTTTACAAAAAATAACTATTTTAAATTCTCATAGCTTCTCCCTGCTTGAAGATAGTTATCACCCACTAAACAGATAATTTTATCCCTAATATTTGTAGATTTTCTTGCAGTGCAGTGGCAGAAATACCCATAAAGGATTTTTTTGGAGATATATATTAAAATAATTAATTAACTTTAACTTGTAAACTGAACAAATCACGAAAATGTAGTTCTCACGCTTCAGTTTCTATTCATTATTCGATAATGATCAGTCAAAAATGAAAAAAGTAGAACTGGTTTTCACTTTAACTGAAAGTACGAATTTACTGATCATTTAACATGAAAATGTGTTCTGACGTTCATTATTTGTTCAGCATCACTGAATCAGTCAGACTGCGTCAGCGAAACTGACAAGTGAGAACCCGCCTTTAGACAAAAACAATGCTGTCCTTGTCTAGGCGGCCATACTTGTCGTGAGGAGAATGACAGGAATGGCACTAATGACTGTTTCCAATTTTCCTATTTCACTGTCACCCCCCTGGTTTCGCCTAGTGATACATGAGCAAATGCATATCATATATATATAAGGAAAAATAGTTTTAATCAAAAACGTTTTTGCCTAAAAACTGTTTCATGTGGTGCCTCAGTGCAAATTAAATGGCTAACGCACACTGATTAGTCTCTAGATGTAAGACAGGTTTAGTTTTATGTTATGTTAAAATATTTTTAGTCGCATCCCGTTCTGTATCTGATGCCGTGGATGTTTAATTGTAAATAAAATATTTTATGTACAACCACATATGTAATACTGACATTACTGACTTTTAAAAAATTTGAAAGTGTCAAATTATCTACATTTCTTTCTATTTCGCTCACTCATTTCCTTCACTCGGTTTTTCTTATTTCTCGCCTCGTTTAATTAAGCAAAATATATTTGTAATATCTTTATTAAATGTTTATCTAACATCAACAAAAATAAACAAGAGGATTAACAATAATAATTCAAGATTTTAATACATTTATTTGTTGAAGGTAAAAATGCTAGACTTCTTTGGCTTAAAACCTACATTCTGGCGTTTTAAAAAAGCAACGAGTTTGTGATATTTTGATATGTCAGTCTTTTCCCTTAATTCTAGCATTGTCCGTATCATGCTGTACGTAGCCTGAAGAGTAGATGGATTTTTCTGCCTTGCCATGTCGCTAAAATATGCCGTCAATACTGTCTCCGAAGAAATATTCTTAGCATTTCTTTCGGCACACCATTTTTCGTATACATCAATGCTATTTCATATCGTCCCCTACTTTTTCCCCGAAGTAAACCGGCTATTTTTGCAGCTTCTGTAAGTTCTGGTGGAGTACCAATATTAAAGTACTCTTCATTATCAGAACTTTCCGACAACATTCTGGTTTTCTATGTTATTAGTCATGGCCGGAACAGCGATTTTTTAATAACAGGTACAAGCTGTTCCAGTTGCAAAAGATACCTGTTCCAAGAAAAATGTTCCAGTTCCAAACTGTTCCAAAACGAAAATTAATACCGTACTTGCGTCGTTCTGATTCAGTGAGAACTACTGGGGATTTTTCTGTTTTCTCTAAATTTAATCTACTATCTATGTTGCTATATTACCAAGATATAATGTTTTTTAACTAAAAATTAAAAAAAACTATCAAATTTTCGAAAAATATAAACTTTTCAAAAACATGTTTTTCCCAAAAAAACTCATGAGAATCGAAATATACAACCCCTAAAAATATGTGCACTTAAGATCCACCCTGTATAAGCACTAATGAATATAGATTTATAATTTTGTTATATACTTAAAAAGTAAATTCTTGGAAGGGTTTAATTTTTTTTAATATCTACTATATTTATAATACAAAACAATAACCGACTGTTCTTACTCTGTATTTTTCAAAAAAAAACTATAATGCGATAATTATATTGCATTTGGCAACATCGCCAGCATTTTTTTATAATAAAAAATGTTCCTTACCTATTCTGTTTCTGTTTACATTAAAAAAATAAAATATTTAAAAAAATTATTATAAATTTAAAATTTATAATAAGAATTTAGTTGAATTTTAATGAAATATTTTAAATAATGGCAACAGCCACACTTGTTTTTTACGCCCCTGTATCCCGATAACACCTGAACGGTCGCGTCCGCTAGACTTGGCTAGACTAGCGAAACCGATATACGACCTCGATTATCAACCCAAACCAGTTCTTTTTACTTAACTGTTTCAAACAGTTCCAAGTTCCTAACTGCTCCAAGCCCTAAACTGTTCCAGGTCGCAAACTGTTCCAAGTCTCAAACAGTTCCAAGTCCCTAACTGTTCCAGCAGCAACTGTTCCAGTCCCTAAACTGTTCAGGCTCGCAAACTGTTCCAGTTCAAACTGTTCCAAGTCCCACTGTTCAGGTTGGGACTTGAAACAGTTTAGGGCTTGGAACAGTTTAGCGCTTGGAACAGTTAGGGACTTGGAACTGTTTGGGACTTGGAACAGTTAAGTACAAAGAACTAGTTTCAGTTGAGCAACGAGGTAGTATATCGCTTTAACGACGCGGTCGCTTGGCGTTATATTATCGAGATTGAGTGCGAGTGTACTAATATAGTGCATAGATATAGTGTTGGGAAAATTCGAATTAAATAATATGACTAATTCGATAGTAAATTAAAACTAACTAATTCGAATTATCTTTTTCGATATAATCGAGATAAAAATTAGTAGTATTTTATATTTATCTGTGGTAACCGAATTACTCAAAAATTATGGAGTCTAAAAGCCCTTTTTAAGCCCTCCATATCAAAAATCTTAGGTACACCGCGATGGGCCTCAAATATGGCCGACTTAAATTCCGGTTTATCAGTGCCGTTTTAATTTTATTTAAAAAATGTAAAACTATGAAGTAGGGTAGACGTGGGGTAGACTCAATAATTTGTTATTTTATTTTACGTTGTGAATAAATGTTAGTAGTTATTAAAATTGTTACAAAAATATATAATTCTAATAAAAATAGATGAGTTATAATAAGTATGTATTAACACCAGCATTAACACAAACATCCGATACGCTACTGAAGCAGGCAAGTCAAATTAACGTATCAAAATTCTTTGACATCTAATCTTTGACAAGTAGTAAATAAAAGCTAAAATGCAAGAAAATATATAATTTAGTTAATTTAAGTGAATTTCATAAATGATCGGTTTACTACACGTATGTATATTATATAGTCACTTACTAGCGAAAAGTTGTTCCATTATTTCACTCAATTTTTGCCGAGATCTACCGCACGCTACACAACCAACTATTTTAGAGTCTTTTTCGATAAATCGCGATAATGTCACTGTTCACTGAATTTAAGTTCTGTCACAATTTCCATCTAGATTTACTACCTTTATAGAACTATCAGTAGTAGAATAAATAATAAATAACATAAAATAAGCTCCGTAAAGACTGACAAATCCACAAAATTTCAAATCAAATTCAAATGTGTCAAATGAATCGTCAAACAGAACTGTCAAGGATCCCCACCCTAGAGAGCTTTTTCCGCCCACCATGCATGAATACATGGATAGCATTATGCTCCTTCCTAGTCTTCTTATTCAAAGCAAATGAACATAAAAGATAACCTCTTATGGACGAATACGAATATTAGTAATTAGTATAGTACTCTATTAGTAGTATTCTTTCGTTCTGAACGAACTGAAAATTTTCAGTTAAACTGATTTATAAAGGGAATCGACAAAGAAAGGAACGATCCGATATAGAAAAATCCAGAAATCATTGTTATTTCCTATACCACGTAGGAATAAATTAGTTTAAGTGAAAATTTTCATTTGTTCAGAACGAAAGAATACTACTATTATTTGGTTCATTTCCATCTCACCCAAATTTCACCGAACACCTGCCGAACACTAAAATTAATTTTCTTCTTTTATCTAAATAATTATTGATTGCAACTGATAAAATAAAAAGAAATACGAACCCTGTACGAACCGCACGTAAACAAGGACATACTTATATCGTTTTAGAAGAAGCTTTTATTTTAGATATGAGCTTTTCAATAGGAATTGAAACAATCATAAACCGGCACTTTTAAATTTAAAACTTTAAATTATGGTTTAATTTATTAAACGGCTTCGGCACAGTTAATAGAATACATTGAATAAAGAATATTTTTTTTTTATTTTTTATTCAGTGATAGAATATAGCTATGGCAATGGTTCAGATTTGTTTAAAATAGCCCCTAGACGAACACTAGCTGGGACGAATTTATTTTTAGGTTAAATTTATAATACTACTAAATAATTCGAATTATTAATTCGATTGTGAAATATGAATTATTACTAATTATTCGATGGTGAAAATAATTCAATTATTCCCATCACTACATAGATGTAAAAAAAACAAGGGTGACGGTTTTCGCAGCGTTGCCGATATTTGATATATTTAATTAAAATTCAACTAAATTTTTATTATAAATTTTAAATAGGAAATCAATATTTAAAAATAGAGAAAGAAAAGAATATCTAATATTTACTATTTAATATATGATAAATAGTAAAATACATATATAAAATAAAAATAACTTACATTCCTAGATAATAAAAACAAGCGGTTCCTTTGTCGGTGTGTATACATTTTTTACGCCGAGTTTTTTTGAATGTAAACAGAATGGGCGAAAAGAATTTCTTACCATTAAAAAAACGTACTGGCGATGTTGCCAAATGCAATATAATATATAATTATCTAATTTTGAAAAATACACTATTAAGAATCTAGTATCACAAATATAGTAGATAACATAATTTAAACAATTCCAAGAATTTATTTCTTTAAGTATTTAATTTAAGTTGTGGTGGTTTAAAACAGCTGGAACAGTTGGAACTGGAACTGGTATAGGATAGCACATAAACCTGTTCCAAGCCAGTTCCAAAACAAACCTGTTTCGAAAATAACAGATCCTGTTCCAAAGCGTCATCACTATATGTTATATAAATTCGAGAAAGCGAACGGGAAATTCAAAACTGTCACTTAGTTGTTTGTTTTGCTGTTGAAGGTTTGCGCCATAATAACCACTGGTAATATTGCTTCCCTTCGAAAAAAAATTTAATAAAAGACCAAAAAAATTTTACCCGGAACAAAAAAGTTTTTGACTAAAGCAGTCCCAAGTAGCATCTATCTGACTTTGAAATAAATCTGACCTGAAGCGACGTCAGACTTTGTGCAAATTTAGGTCAGGTGCTGGTGATACGACCGGTGACGTCGCTTTCCTATTAAAAGCGACGTCGTTGGATCCGAGTCGGGAAATCCAACGATCTGTCGACGTACAAAATAACAACGTACCATTTTTATTAATTTCCCAACGTCGTTCCCACGTTGGTTTGCACGACATACATATACTTGAACTAGCCCGACGTCTACCCGTTGTCCGAATAGGATACGTCTCACTGATAATCCCTAAAGTAACGTCCAATTATATTTTGTTGTATTTTATGTTCATATTTATAACCTAATTTACGTATCTCTATTTACGTCCGTAAATACAACCCATTAAGTAGCATTTGCGACCTAATGAACATCATGAACATAGCCTAATAAAAAGTTTTAGTAAACAAACTTAATTTTTAAAAAAACACTAAAAAGGCACTTAGACATTCATCTACATTTTACAGAAAGAGGTCGAGGCTTTTGCAAAATAATAATAGTAGTAGTGATGTCTTGCCTCCACCCATAAATGCTTTTTATCCGGAAGAGATGCTGCATTACACTGGTTGTAACACTGGTGCATCTTAATTTCATTTTTTAGCTTAGGAAACCAGCAGACCCTATCCCCCTCCCACATGTGAGGTTAGGCTTAAAAAAGTGGCTGTCCATTTTTTTTTAAAAAGAAAACATAAACTAAAATATAGTTGCACAAATCCACAAATCGCAAAGTGAGGTTACGTGGCGTACGTTGGAATTATATACGTTATAATACGATTGCCGGTCGTCCGGTTTGATAACTTCGGTCGTGCGAGACGACTAATGTTGGAGACCCGGTTGAAATTGGTATATTGGTAGTTCATATTAAGTCGGACACAGAAATCCGCCATTCTTAACCAGTATCCGATTGTCAGCCATTTTAAAATCGTTTTTTGTTTTTAAAATTTATATTCACATTTCGATTTCTAGTAGAATAATATTGATAAGGTTGAGTTTGGGGGGAACCACAGTACAGTTTTATGATTAAACCAGCTAGAAAATTAAAAAATATTTTTGCGAGTTACTTTTTTATAGATATTTTTATTTCATAAATCTACCTAATTTTGAAGGCGCTCGTTGTTTTCCGGAGTATTTTAATCAGATATATCAAAAAAGTGACTTCCGTTGACAAAACTGATGTCTGGATTAATGATTCAGAATTATTATAATATGAAATTAGATAGGCACTTATATTCGAGGAGTGATTATGAATCCATTTGTAATTAGGTAGTTTGGTTAGGTTTTTATGTATTCTTGGTAGCGAATATGAAACCAAACGTAACGTAAGTGCTTAGCGATGAATTTTAAGTGACTAAAATCCAACGTAATATGACGTTGGTAATTGGCAGAATTACATTCCCTATTAGGTCAGATACCGACGTCGAGGCGACCCGAATCTGTATTCCCCATTTAGGTGCAAATAAGGGTCGTCAGGCGGTCGAACCGACGTTGGTACCCGACGTCGGGTTTATTGAACGCGACGTATACCCAACGTTAGATAACGTCCAAATGCTACTTGGGGTTGCTCTTTCTGGGTGCGTCCAGCCTAAGTCTACGACACACAGAAAGCTACTAGCGTTTTAGCGTGTAAAGCCTTTGTAAGGCGTCCTTTTGCGACTAGAAACAAAATAACACTTAGATTATATATCTAAGTTTATTATATATTCTAAACGGTAATACATATATACCAGAAAACTACTGTCAAAAAACTTCTTCACATTTCATATACCGACTCTAACCAAAGCTCTGGCTTGTCATACCCTAGATTCTCTGGAAAATCACATCCTAATTCGGCTACTGTAGGTCCAACCTCCTAGACAATCAAAAAATTGTTTTAGTTTAACTAAATTTGTTTAAAAAAGGGATCTGAATCAATAAAGTGTGACCAAGACTGATTCAGTATTACTGAAAAATGGAAAACGGCTTTTGTGTTCACTTTGCTAGTTGAATATATTCAGATGGTCTAGACATCTTTCGTTGATCTCGTAAACATAAAATGTCTACCAAATCACAACCAATTGTTCGAGAAGCATGTTTATAATTAAGGCGCTTAAGGGATACAAGTGACTTTTTTCTAAATGCAGATTTAGATACTTTAAGTACCTACCAATTTATTTGGTATAAAATGGAATTAAGTAAATTCTACAGTGGCACTAAATAGAGCGTAGAATTTACTTAATTTCCTTTTACACTAAATAAATTGGTATCTAAAGTGTCTAAATCTGTATTTAAGTCCATTTAGAAAGTCACTTGTAACTTGTATCCCTTTTACTCTAAGCCCCCCAATTAGCATATTAATTATGATATATCTTGATGTATCAAAAACGACAAAAATGTCTTATATGCTTGCTTGGAACCATTGTCATCTGTTCAGTTTTAATTTAAAAATAGATGCAGTTTTTTTTTTAAATTACTTAAAATAGGCTTATCTAAAAAACTCAGATCTTTTTACTTTTTACGACTTCGCTGTAAAATTAACAGGGGAGCTAATACTCGTGCATAATAGCATGCCATTTCCTATGTTTCCAACGACGATGAACACCCGGTATATTGAAAGAATTCGTTTTATCATCAGTTAGATTGCTTTAGAGAGATTTATAAGTGACAATCCGGCTTAAGAGCTCTATACAGGGTGTTTCAAAACAAATGCGAAAAACTTCAGGGGGTGATTCCTTGTTCAAAATAAAGGGTAGTTTGCTTTATAAACGTTGGGTCAAAAGTCAACCATTAGGGAGATATCGCGGTACAAAGATGGCGGAAAAATAATGTTTTTATTTTTTATCTTGAAAACGAAAAGAGATAGACTAATGAAATTTTATGGAAGCATTACTGTTATGAAAAACACACTTTCTGGCATTTTTTCATTTTTTGAAAATGAGTGGAAGGGGTTGAAATAAACTACCCCTATCATTCTTGTTAACGAAATTTAAAGAAAAATCTTATCAAACACATGCAGAAAAATTAATTTGGATAGTTCAGTTTGTTTAGAAACTTTTTTATCTCTTGTGTTTTTTAGATAAAATTCACCGATTTGAAATTAAAAAATAAAATGTAAAGCATTACATGTCAGGACAAAAAACATTTTTAGATTAAGAATCTAGTGATAATAACGATAATAATAATCATCTAGATAATAACGTATTGCAGTAGAGTAATGTCAAATAAAATAATATTAGGAACATCCTAAAAAGTAACAGCAGCCGACTAGATTTTTTCCTAAAAAATTACAGCAGCCCACTAGATTCTTTATAAGAAAATGTTATTTGTCCTGACATGTAATGCTTTACATTTTATTTTTTAATTTCAAATCGGTGAGTTTTATCAAAAAATAGAAGAGATAAAAAAGTTTCTAAACAAACTAAACTATCCAAATTAATTTTTTTGCATGTGTTTGATAAGATTTTTCTTTAAATTTCGTTAACAAGAATGATAGGGGTAGTTTATTTCAACCCCTTCCACTCATTTTAAAAAAGTGAAAAAATTACCAGAAAGTGTGTTTTCATAACAGTAATGCTTCCGTAAAATTTTATTAGTCTATCTCTTTTCGTTTTCAAGATAAAAAATAAAAACATTATTTTTCCGCCATCTTTGTACCGCGATATCTCCCTAATGGTTGACTTTTGACCCAACGTTTATAAAGCAAACTACCCTTTATTTTAAACAAGGAATCACCCCCTGAAGTTTTTCGCGTTTGTTTTGAAACACCCTGTATACAGTCGATAGAGGTTCCTTTAGCACCCTATTATAATGGTATATACCTGGACGATATAAGGATATATCTCGGCCTCGTAGTTGCCGCACTTGAGCTTGACCATCTCCAAGAAGCGCACGGTGAGCGCGTAGTCGTTGAGGCGGCGGCAAGCGTGCAGCGCCGCTATAATAATCCGGGGCTCCGGGACCGAGTCGTAGCCCGCGATGTCGTTCATGGCCTGGCGCACGTCCCAGCCGTCGGCGTCGTCCCGCCCGAAGATGCACTCGTACCTGAAGGGGGGGAAAGAACAAAGGGAACAGATAGGACACAGGACTAGGGTTCAGAACCGGGTAATCCCGGCTCCGAAAGTGCCGGAAATTCCCGGTTCTTTTGAGCCATAAAAAACCACTCTAATTCTAATAAGAAGAAAAATCTCTTCTAAATATGTAGTGATGCCAGAGAGTGATGCTATTTCTTATAGTGCTTACTTACTTGCCCTTGGGTGACACTTGCGCGAGATTATCCTCCAAAAGTGGTACACAAGCTACCACCTCCCCCAGCAAATGTCGGGAACCTACCTCCAGACCCAATATGCGACACAAGCAGTGCCGGACTTAGGCCTAGGCCAACTAGGCCCGGGCCTGGGGCGGCAGATTTTTAGGGGCGGCAAATTTTGAGCATACCAAAATATTTATCTTTTTTTTAACTTTTATTTGTTCATAAAATATTTCGAATATAGCCTTAGCCGATTTCATATTTATTTATAGTAAACGCCACGAATGTTTGGGAGTGATTCATCGGTCGCTACCATGTGAACTAATCTGTTCAAGGTCACATAAAACTCAATTCCAGTGCCGTGGTGTTTCAAGTCATTAAATAATCAATATATAATCTGTTGTAATTTGTTGTTTTAACTGTCAAAGTCTTGTCAAAACATATATTTGGTTATAAATATAAAATGGAATGCCCCATTGGTCGCACTACAAGCACACCAATGGACTGACGCACAAAAACGAATCAATCAAAGAAACGTGATATAGTATCGTCTTTGTCAATCACGCTAACATTTTAGAATAAGTAGGAGGAGCGCAGGCAGATGATTAGACCGGGCCTTTGAAAACCTACGTCTGCGGTAAAAATTTACGTTTTTAATGTAAAAATGATAGCGCGCGTGTCGATTCTAACTTCATCAAGCGATGAATCACTCCCAAACATTCGTGGCGTTTACTACACTTAACTATTATTATTGTTTAAATATACAGGGTGTTTCAAAACAAATACGAAAATCTTCCGGGGGTGATTCCTTGTTCAAAATAAAGGATAGTTTGCTTCATAAACGTTGGGTCAAAAGTCAACCATTAGGGAGATATCGCGGTACAAAGATGGCGGAAAAATAATGTTTTTATTTTTTATCTTGAAAACGAAAAGAGATAGACTAATGAAATTTTACGGAAGCATTACTGTTATGAAAACACACTTTCTGGTAATTTTTTCACTTTTTTAAAATGAGTGGAAGGGGTTGAAATAAACTACCCCTATCATTCTTGTTAATGACATTTAAAGAAAAATCTTATCAAACACATGCAAAAAAAATAATTTTGATAGTTTAGTTTATTTAGAAACTTTTTTATCTCTTTTAACGTCTATCTCTTTTCGTTTTCAAGATAAAAAATAAGAACATTATTTTTCCGCCATCTTTGTACCGCGATATCTCCCTAATGGTTGACTTTTGACCCAACGTTTATGAAGCAAACTACCCTTTATTTTGCACAAGGAATCACCCCCTGAAGTTTTTCGCATTTGTTTTGAAACACCCTGTATAATTCGCTTGGGTTATTTTTTACTGCATTATGCCATGCAGTTAATAAATACATAAATACCTCGAATATAAAATCTTTTAACGCGAAATTTACTTTTAACGCGAAATTTACTTTGAAATCGCCGCAAAAAAGAAGGGCATAAGGAGGGCCATAGAATTGTTAGGTGAGAAAGAATATGCGGCAGATAAAAAGAGAAAAGTGAAAGGGAAACGACAATTTAATGAAACCAGTGATAATGAAACTCTATTTAACGCTAGGAACCAATGGGCACCTACCCCAGTATCCTTCAGGCAGAAATTTGCGCTATCGAAAGATGCGTACAATTTATCTTGGATAGGAACTATCGAAAACAGGAAATTGCCATCCTATCCGATAGTCAAGCAGCACTTAATGCGATCAACTCAGTAACCATCAATTCGAAGTTGGCCAAAGAATGCCTAGAGAAGCTTAACAAATTAGGCAAAGAAAATAAAGTCGGTGTAGTTTGGGTGCCTGCTCACCAAGGGATAGAAGGCAATGAAAAAGCAAATGATCTAGCTAGAAAAGAAGCGAACACTCCACTAACTGGACCAGAACCGTTCTGTTTTCCTAACGGGAACCAACTGAAAGCGGAACTGAAGAATCTGGAAGACTCCATCCGTAATATAGAATGGGTGTCCTCCAACGGTCTAAGACACTCGAAAAAGTTCCTCAGAACTTACGACCGAGAAAAATCAAAGGTTTTCCTTGATTTAAGTAAAAACAATCTTTGGATTGTCACGGGGTTTCTAACAGGACACTTTCTCCTCAACGAACACCTCAGTAGGCTGAAACTGAGAAACAACGGCGAATGCAGATTTTGTGGGGAAAATGGGGAAACACCAGAACACCTTATCACTGAGTGCGCCGAGACGACAACCATTCGTGCCATGAACCTTGGTACGTCTGATGTCGAGGATGGAGAGCTGGCCTCTGTGGAGCCGTCTCAGATAGTGGCTTTTCTTAAAGCCCTGAGACTGTATGATGAGTTATAACTCGTTATAACTCAAGAAAGGGGAACACACAATAGATCTATAAGGTCGCGGTGATTAACTCCCCTTCTAAACATTCTACATTCAACGCTAGGAACGATTTTAGGATAAATGTATTTAATGTTATTATTGATAAATTAATCCTTGAAATTTCCTACAGGAAAAATGCCTACAATGACTTTTCAACCAAATTTGGTTTCTTTTTTTAGTGATTTATCTACTTTAAGTACTGACAACATTACCGATAAGTCCAGACATTTAATAACCTGTTATCCAAATGATTTAGATGAGTCAATCAGTCAATGCCTAATGAACTAATACGTTTTCGTGAATTTATAAAATGCATTAAGTCAGCAAAACCATCTGCTAGAGAGCTTCTTAAAGTAATTTATGAAAAAAAAACGCTCAAGACCTGTTTCCAAATACTTTCATAGCATTAAGAATCTTCACATGTACTTTTATTACTAATTGTTCTGCTGAACGCTCGACACGCTGCTTTGACACGTATTAAAACTTATTTACGGTCCACTATGGAAACAGAACGTCTAAATCATTTAGCAGTTTTACATATTGAGTCCGACCTTTTAAAAACTAATAATTACGATGAAGTAATTGATAATTTTGCGAACAAAAAAGTACGTAGGAAACCTTTATAGGCATATAAGCAAACCTTATACGAGTATGTAGTTTTGTTGTTCTTTTGTTGTCATTTTATATGAATATTTTAATATTTATTTTATGTTCTGTGTTGATCTGTTGTGTCGGTCTATTCTGTTGTTGATCCTGTATTCAAATAAATGTTTTTATATCCGTAATTTTTTTAATTAAAAAAAATGTTAAGGGGCCTCAAATTTTGTTTAGCCTGGGGCGGCAACTTTGTTAAGTCCGGCCCTGGACCCAAGCTACCGTTTTGTTTACAAAAACCTGGGTGAGCCAGGCGTGCTAGACGATCCTCTGAGAGTGGATCTTAGTGGAGCAGAAGCACGGAGATACCTCCGTCTGCTCCACGAAGGACTTGCTCTAGACGAAGCAAAAGCGAAAACACGCCTTGGAAAAGGGGAGAGTAAAGGAACCAAGAAAGAGCGTGGCGCATTTCCACCAAAGGGCAAGAGAGGGAGTGAGAACCTCTCACCTCTGCTCCGGCAAGGAGGGAAAAACACCATCTACACAAGGAACAAGGCGAAATACACCATCTACTTGCTGGGCCTTATCCAGGCTCAACTGCAATGTAAGGAGTTGGCGAGTTATCAACTCGAGGGAGGAGGATCATGATCCGGCCCTTACAATAGGAATTGCCCTCAAATCCAAGGAGGCAATAGAGAAAGAGGGATAAATCCTCTATTACAGATACGGGACAACACCGGTGTCAGGTCTAAAGAGAGACCAAGTTAAAGAGGCGGAGAAAATGGAGACAGATCCTCCAGCCTCCACCTCTATAAAATATAAAAGTAGTAAAGTTTGTATAAATGTATGTCCTAAAATGCTTAGTTTTCGAGATACGCACGGTGTAGAAGTTTCATTTTTATTTCGATTTTTTCCAAATAATTTCTGCAGTAACGTCAATATTTGGATGAAAATTGGTGTCTGGGAGTTTTTTGACATGAGAAATTTGATTTTGATGGCAGTATGACTCCTACTAGTAGAGGGCGCCACCTACATATTTTTAACTGGTTTGAAGAGTAATAACTTTTCGTCCTTACCTGTATAAAACTACTGTGTAAAAAAATATACATTTACGTTTTTTACGTAAAAAAGGTCTCTTGGTAAAAATCGCTATGAGTATTGGTTCTCGAGATATTTGGAATCGAAATTATGAATACCTGTCATCATTGACAAATTAAATATGTTGACTAAATAGTTATTAAGGCCGCCTCAGACACGCATGCTTTTCGATCGTTTTACTTGCACAGTCATAAGTTGCAATGCAACACTGAACGCTGGCAATCCTTCATACACTCCGTCTTAAAGTACAGTTTTCTCTTCAGTCATCAGTCTTCAGCTTTCAAAATAAACATGGACCGTCAAAAATTAGCTGTTTGTTCAGCAACAGTCTTGATCATTAAAAAGAAAAAAAAAAGGAGAGACCCCGAAAAAGATGGTCCAAAAAATGGTTGCTATTGAGAGAAAAATTTACACATTTTAATTTGTTGAATGAATTGAAGTTAGAACCTTAAGTTATTTTTGTCGGAATATTCCTTGCTCTCAAATTTTCCACAAACATTCATGATTTCTATATAATTCAATGAAATCTGAGAGAAACTCTCTTGACATCAGTCTCAGGTCAGCCATTTTAAATTAAGTAAGATGTAATGCAACACTCTCTGAAGACCAATCAGACTCAACGTCTTCTTCGCAAGCAAGTTGGAACGCGAACGAAAAATCAACCCGCGGTTGATTGCGTTCAAGCCAGTCAATTGACGGTACACCATAAACAAAACGGACGACTTGAGGCTTCACACACACCATCTTGCATAGCAACTTAAGACTGACTACTTAAGATGCTTTTCCGTTTTGCTTGCACAGTCTTAAGTTGCAATGCAACACTGAACGCTGGCAATCCTTCATACACTCCGTCTTACACTCCGTCTTAACGTGCAGTTTTTTTTTGCTAGGAAGCGAGAGACTGGAGTTCGAATCTCGGCCGGGACATAACTTTTTATCTATTTTTTTAACTACTGTTGTATTCTATAGTTTATTTTTGTAGTATAAAAAAAGAACTATTTATTCTGTTATTTTTTAATCTCCGTTATTAATATAAATTGATTGTTGGTACAATACCTCATTTAATATAAAATAATATTCTACTTTTTGAAATGTATCGGGCCCTAATTGTACTTAAAAGTAATATATTTTTAGTGATATACCATATTGTAAACTATTTAATATTTCACTTAAAAAGTTAATTTGCACTGAATAATTGCCTACCATTAAAGGAAATTTGAGCTATATAATCCTTGATGGGCATATTCTGGGTATGCAAATACTTCCTCTAATTTTTTTTTTAAATAAGACGTAATGCAAGACTGAAGACCAATCAGACTCAATGTTTTCTTCGCAAGCAAGTTGGAACGCGAACGAAAAATCAACCTGCGGCTGATTGCGTTCAAGCCAGTCAATTGACGGTACACGATAAACAAAACGGACGACTTGATGCTTCACACTCACCGTCTTGCATAGCAACTTAAGCCTATGATTATAACATGAGTTGCAATGCAACACTGAATGCTGGCAATCCTTCATACACTCCGTCTTAAAGTACAGTTTTCTCTTCAGTCATCAGTCTTCAGCTTTCAGAATAAACATGGACCGTCAAAAATTAGCTGTTTGTGCAGCAGCAGTCTTGATCATAAAAAAGAAAAAAAAGAAGAGACCCCGAAAAATATGGTCCAAAAAATGGTTGCTTTTCAGAGAAAAATTTACACATATTAATTTGTTGAATGAATTGATGTTAGAACCTTAAGTTATTTTTGTCGGAATATTCCTTGCTCTTAATTTTCCACAAACATTTACGATTTCTATATAATTCAATGAAATCTGAGAGAAACTCTCGTGACATCAGTCTCAGATCAGCCATTTTAAATTAAGTAAAACGTAATGCAACACTGAAGACCAATCAGACTCAACGTCTTCTTCGCAAACAAGTTGGAACGCGAACGAAAAATCAACCCGTGGTTGATTGTGTTCAAACCAGTCAATTGACGGTACACCATAAACAAAACGGACGACTTGATGCCTCACACACACCGTCTTGCATAGCAACTTAAGACTGTGCAAGCAAAACGAACGAAAAGCATGCGTGTCTGAGGCGGCCTTTACAAAGAGATGTCCCTCGGTAGTTTTATACAGGTACGGACAAAAAGTTATTACGCTTCAAAACAGTTGAAACACATGTAGGTGGCGCCCTCTACCAGTAGGAGTCATATTGACATCAGAATCAAATTTATCATGTCAAAAAACTCCTAGACGCCAATTTTCATCCAAATATTTACATTATTTCAGAAATTATTTGGAACAAATCGAAATAAAAATGGAACTTCTACACCCTGTATCTCGAAAACTAAGCATTTTAGGACATATATTTATACGAACTTTTTTACTTATTTTTATCTGCAGAATATTCTGCCGAAGTTTCCGGAATACAGTTCGGACCACCCTGTATCATTCGTGAAATAGAAATTCATATAAGTTACTGACTGTTTTATAATACTAACCTACAGATCATTTCTTCTACAGATTCATCTCTAATAGCTAAATGACTAATAAATCTCAAATTCTCACTGCAATACACCGAGGGATTTTTAAGCAAAGCCACACGTCTGGGTGCAGAAGAAATAGTTTTGAATACTTGCCCGATGTGATGACGTATTATCGGTCGAGTGAACATCCGTGCCAGTGCCATCTGAAAAAAAAGGAAAATAATATTGAAAAAAACGTTAAATAACAGTTAATCGTTCTCTACCTTTTCTTGAATTCAAATCAATGTGTATTCGAGAGTTTGCTTTTCTTCTGATAATGACAGATATTTTTTATTGACAAGTTTGAGTGAATGCTATAAGTGACAATGTTGATGTTCGTGTTTCCTAAGTTACGTCGCTTTAGAATAAAAAAGGAATATACAATGTAAGTCAAAACCTTTGAATAAAAAATTAAGGAAGGAGTATTTTACATCGGGGGATGGACATAAAGAACCCCCAATTTTGACAGTATTGTTTGACGTTTCAAGAAATACATTTAAATTTGATTTGAAATCTTCAGAATTTTCTAAGCTTATTTTATGATATTAATTATTTATTCTACAATTGATCTAGTTTAAATGTAGTAAGTCTGGAAGGATATTGTGCCAGAACTTAAATTAACAGTGACGTTATTGCGAATTTTTATTTATCTGCAAAACTCTTCTACCAAATTACCTCAACAAACAATAGTAAATGTCCATTTTTCACCATACTGCAATCTGACATTATTAAAAATAAATTTAAATGTTACAAAAACTATTAGATTTAAGTATACACGGTGTTTCTAATTAGGCTCTCGTCATTGGAAATTGGAATCTCGGAAACAGTAAGAGATATCGGATGGCTTAAATTGGTTAAAAGTTGCCTTGTTAGTGAGCCCAGTGGTAATCGGTTTTGTGGACAACAAACTGCAGGAAAGAAGATTGGGAATTAGAACAGATACGACGGCGCGGCGGTCTGTTCGACATAAAAAGACTCAGGGAAAAACACGTACAAAATTCATAGAACAGAACTTCAATACGCTGATGACTGCATTAGAGTTGCAAAAACGTTACAGCGGTTACAAGAAATGCTGAAACACATATTCCTGGGCATACGAGGCTTTGGGTCTTAAGCTGAACATCGACAAAACTAAAATCATGTGCACTCCCCCAGGAAGATCACAACAATGCTATAAAAATCGGAGAAGAACTATTGGAATATGTACCGGAATTCAATTACCTCGGCAGTTTGATTTCGGAAAAGGCCAATATCGACTCTGAAATTCAGCACAGGATTAGCAGCGCAAAAACAAAATTTGCAGTGTACTGAGGAATAATAATCCCCACCATATTATATGGAAGCCAAACAAATAATTTAAAAATATCGTATTACTTAGCTGAACCCAAATAGGGGGGGGGGCTTGCTATTGCTCCAAAGTTACCCTGTATATCTTACCGTTTCCGAGATGCAATGGTGAGAGTAGAATTTGAAACACCCGGTATACCATGATATATATGACATAAAAAAAAACAAAAAATGTAATATGCGCCACACTTTTTTGAAATACCCTGTATACTTAAAAAACTTAAATGTTTATCTTAACAGTCCCTCCTAACTTTTCTATTTAACATTTTTTTCGTAATTCTCAAAACCCACGAGATAATGAACTTGTATCTATATCGTTGACTCATCCTGTAGGTATACATATCGTCGTCTAAGTCCGTACGTCGCGTACGACGTCACGACGTGTAGTGGCTCTGGTTTAGAGATGGGCAAAAGTAACCGGTTTTTTGAATAACCGGTATTTTCCTCTAAAATAACCGGTTATTTAAAGGTAGTTTTTTTTTCACCAGTTAACCTAATAACCTTGCATTACGTTCAATAACCTATAGCCGGTTATTTTTTAAAAAATCGTACTTGTTTAAAACAAGTAACAATTAAATATTAGCTGTTTGAATCGTAAATTTCGAAGGAGCGAACGGCACGGATCTTCCAGATATTACGACGATAACGGGAGATCCCGCTCCCGCTCCCAAAACGAAAATATATGACATCAAACATCAAATGTCAAAATTAAATCAGGCATCAGGCGAACGCTGATAATAATCAAAACAACAGCCGAATGGCCCTGACAGGTCAGGCCGTAAAACAAAGTACTAATGCCATAGACTACTACTAGCCACCAGCTAGCCAAGTGATACGAACCTAACTTCAAATAGATTCTCTAAATTCTATATTTAAATTTTAACCGACTTTAACGGAATTTCAACGGTTCTTCAAAAGTTTTCCATGGTTTCGCCCAGTTTCACCGTAAATATATTTTATTTGTAGTTTGAAGTCTCTCTTGAAGCTTAGACTAAGAATACAAAATTGAAGTTCAAGTAACGAATGAAGATACTCTTTCATTATTTATTCATTCAGTCTCCTTATTTTTCTTTGGTATTTGATTAAAATAACTTGGTTGTAGATTGTAGAACTTGTGAGTTGTGTGGTTTATTTGAACGTTAAGTAATTACTAGTTTTAATATCATATCCATGTCTACTCAAAAAAAATGAGGTTAGCATTTTTATTTAAATTCATTTTGTACATATACATACTTACATTGCTACAATCTCTATTTAATCATGCGATTTAACTAAGTTTATTATCTAAATTTGAAGTAGACCTATGGAGTGTAGAGGTAAGTAAACCTATGGAAAACTAAATATTTAGTTTTGCTAGGTTAGGTTATTTGAATAACCGGTTAATTTGTGTCGATTAATTTTGTCAAGTTATTATTTTTTAAAGATAATTCCGGTTAACCTATAACCGGTTTTTTACCAATAATCGCCCATCTCTACTCTGGTTCTGGCTCTAAGGACCTGACGGCTGCACGCATCGCCCGTCTCCAATTTTCTCTGTTTTCAGTTCTTCGTAGTGATGGGAATAATCGAATTATTTTCACCATCGAATAATTAGTAATAATTCATATTTCACAATCGAATTAATAATTCGAATTATTTAGTAGTATTATAAATTTAACCTGAAAATAAATTCGTCCCAGCTAGTGCTCGTCTAGGGGCTATTTTAAACAAATCTGAACCATTGCCATACCTATATTCTATCACTGAATAAAAAATAAATAAATAAATTCTTTATTCAATGTATTCTATTAACTGTGCCGAAGCCGTTTAATAAATAAAACCATAATTTAAAGTTTTAAATTTAAAAGTGCCGTGTTTATGATTGTTTCAATTCCTATTGAAAAGCTCATCTAAAATAAAAGCTTCTTCTAAAACGATATAAGTATGTCCTTGTTTACGTGCGGTTTGTATTTCTTTTTATTTTATCAGTTGCAATCAATAATTATTTAGATAAAAGAAGAAAATTAATTTTAGTGTTCGGTGAAGTTTGGGTGAGATGGAAATGAACCAAATAATACTAGTATTCTTTCGTTCTGAACGAAATGAAAATTTTCACTTAAACTGATTTATTCCTACGTGGTATAGGAAATAACAATGATTTCTGGATTTTTCTATATCGGACCGTTCCTTTCTTTGTCGATTCCCTTTATAAATCAGTTTAAGTGAAAATTTTCAGTTCGTTCAGAACGAAAGAATACTACTAATAGTACTATACTAATTACTAATATTCGTATTCGTCCATAAGAGGTTATGTTTTATGTTCATTTGTAATTCGGTTACCACAGATATAATATAAAATACTACTAATTTTTATCTCGATTATATCGAAAAAGATAATTCGAATTAGTTGGTTTTAATTTACTATCGAATTAGTCGTTTTATTTAATTCGAATTTTCCCAACACTAGTTCTTCGAACGGCACCCTCCAGGTTGGTATTCATAAGTTTTTCAAACATGTCCACCCATCTGGTTGGCGATCTTCCTCGGCGACGGGATCCTGCAGGTTTCCTGCAGGTATACATATAGGGCGGCTCTATATTCACTTATTTCTCTGAGATAATTATCCTCGAATGGTCATTCTAATGTCACACCGCTGCGATGGTCGTTCTTAATTACGGGCATGAGCTGTCGCGCGATTTTGACCGTTTTCCATCGGAATGTACCATTGACGATTCGGTCGATGGCCTCCCCCTTCAGGATGCCCACATCCGTTCTTTTTTACATAAATTGTTATTTGCGCGTACGTACCCATTTCGATGGGCATCGACAGAATCGGTGTTAATTTAATACCTACCCAATAATTTCTATTAAAATTATATCAAACTCCTAGGCAAAATATCCCGACACCCTATATTTTGTGTCAAATTTAATGTTCTATAATTTTCTTTTTATTTCTTATTTTCATTTTTTTCTTCTCTTTTTTTAATTTTCTTCTAATTTTGATTTCCATTATTTCCTACCATCGATCGCTATAAAGGTTAAGAGGAAATTGATTATACAGGGTAAATCTTAAATATAAGTACAAATATTTTCAGGGCTGGCTGGTAGATCTCGATAAAAGAATCATATTTTCTCTTTGCCGGTTTTCAAATACGTCCAAAATAACTGTGTTATTCAAGTTTGAAGTTTTTTAAAAAAATTGATTTATTTCGAAAAAATTTGGGAGCCACCGGATTTCTTCTGTATTTGCGTCTCTATCATAGACAAACAAATAAACAGAGACTGACATATCCCATGGTAAAGAGTGGGACCGCGTTCCCGTAGCGCAACTCAGAATAACAATTTTGAAACCAATTAGCAGGACCATGGCAGGACGTACGTCTTTATTGCTATCTTTCTTTATTATGTGTACTTTATATGAAAAAGAAAGAGATATGTATAAAACGTATCGTAAGACATTATCGCACATTCTGGCTGGCGGAAAATTTAAATTAGCCATTATTAGTAGTATTCTTTCATTCTGAAACTGAAAATTTTCACTTGAACTGATTTATATTCCCCTATACCACGTAAAGAGAGGCGTGGTGTAGGGAATAAATCAGTTTAAGTGAAAATTTGCAGTTTCTTTCAGAACGAAATAATACTACTATTATAAGGGAAATTATAAAAAAAGCAAAAATTGTACTGTTTTATAAACATATTTATTTATTCATAAAAATAAATAAACTTTTTATAATATAATAACAAAAAATAAGAGTGTTTATTCCACCCACCTATCAATTTTAAATGCAGAAGAAGACTGTTACAGGAAACAATCGGCCAATTTTTTTAAAGGGCATTAAAAATCTCATTTTCAAAAAAACTGCCCAATTGGAATAACAAAGTGAATATCCAAGCAAAGAAGACTTTACAAGAATCATGAACCTGAACCATTTTCAAGTCCAGTTTTAATCCTAAAACAAAAGTAAAATAGGTATATTAACACAGATATTAATAAAGTTTCT